AACGATCTATCTAAGCATTATATTAACTAAAACAATATAGTACGATAAAATACATTATGACAACAAATAACAACCATCCAAAACAAAGTGTTAGGTTATGTTCAGTACGAATCAAATCGAAACATGCTATTAGAGAATGAATCATACAATTTTAATTAAAGATCTTGAATTTAAAATCGAAACGTGCTATTAGAGGAGAAATTACATCACAATACTTTGGTTAGTTGAATAATGTAATAATTGATAAATAGTGAGTCATGTATTTTCAATGTGTTAAGAGTCTTCATATTTTCTTAAATTCAAAGTTTGAGTTCTCATGCACCTTTAGAATACTTTTTCTACACAGTTTCCCATATTTATTTTATCCTAGTTGTTTTTATTAGTAGTCCTAAAATAGATAGGAACAAAAATATTTAGCCATTTGCATAGGATCCAAAGATAATCAAAGAAAGTGGTGGGATCAATAATTGATTTGATTGATCTTTTGATGAAATGATGAATTGTATCATTATGTTTTTGAGAGATAATGACTGGTTAGAAATTTTCAACAAATATTCCTTTTTTCCGTCTCAAATTATTTATGATAATTTTAGAATTTTTACGATTAACTGATTATTTTTCTCTTGAAGACTGTCAATCATTCAGTAGAATCAATATTTAGTAAAGAGAGACAATATTTTTCCACTTTTACTTAATTTTTTATACTGAAAGTAGATCGATATCTATATTTATTTGTCTTATTTTTAAAAATTAAGATGTATTTATTATTCTATATTTTTCTTTACCCTTATTGTTAACCACTCAAATTCATTTTCTAACTGATAACATATATAAGCCTTTCTTCATAAAAATAATATAGATGAGTCAAAAACTTAATGAATGATATAAATATCGATAACTATCTAAGTCTCTTTCTTTAATATAAAATACCATAAATAATTTGAGACGAAGAAAATAGTATTTCCTAATTATAACATTGATTTTCCACCACTCCAAGAATCTAGGTTCTAAATTAGGTAATATTGGGGGAAAAAAGAGGAAAAGGAAAGTTAATTTGGCTAAGTATAATTTGTTAATTAATTATTCCCTTCTTGTATATTAGTGGATTGCATGTGCTCTTCATTTTCTATCTTAATGGATAAGAAAGTCATTAAAATTAATTCATTTTATAAGTTCCCTTCAACAACCACCATTAACATTTTCATTAAGCTTAATTAATTGTCATGTAAATCTTCTTCTTAGATTTATATATATTAAGCATAATTAATTTAACTGGTTAATTTTATATTAACAACCACCTCCACTTTATTATCTTATCCATTCAATCATAATTGTATTTCATAATTTTCTTAATATTTATATTAATTCAAACTATAACACATAAATTAAAAATAAAAAACATATTTTCGTTTGATGGAGTACTAAATTACCAAAAATATTTATATATAAAAAAGGTAATAAAATAAAACTTTAAGAAAAAGAAATGTCCATATGAGATAAGGTAGCATAATTTGATGATGAAGTAGGACAATAAATAATTATTATCCAGATAGCATCCTCCGTTTTAAAATAAGTGTCATTTTTAATATTTATTAAAAAATTAATAAATATAATATATAAAAGATGAAATATAAGGGTATGGTTAAAAAATATGTACGAGTAGTATTTTTGCTTGAATTTCTAAAAATTACATTTATTTCGAGACAAAAAAAATTGAAATACTTATTTTGAGACGAAAAAAATATATACTTGTCCTTTCGATTTATTTTTTTTATATAATTTTTTGTCATTTCGTTTTCTTCAAGCACAAACTTGTATAATGCAAGGTGGCACATAATAGAACAAATGAATTATGTATGTAGTGTTATAATGACAACACCTTGTACCATCAAAAAATATTCTAGTGGAATTTAAGTAATTGATTCTATTTTAATCAAAGATTTTAAATTTAAATTTTACAGTAACAATTACAATATAATGATATTAAGTTTATCAAAATTAAGTATTTTTAATATGATCAATTAGATATAATATATTTATTAAAATTATAATAAATAATAGGCTCAAATTAGTTAGATTTTAAAATAGACATTTTCTGAATATGAAATTATATTTATTATAAAGTGTTTTATTTTTTAAGATTATTTTTTTAATGTAAATTTAAATTAATCATATCACAAATTACATAAATCGATATTAAGTGTGCAAAAATAAAACAAAGATTATTTTAATTTATCCAATAAATGGTCGTGTATAATCATTCGGAAGAATATTTGTTTAAATTTTGGTGGGAAACATTTTTCTCTATATTTATAAAGTATGAATTTAAATTAATTGATATTTCAAAATTAAGAGTGAAGCTAAAGATTGATATGAGATTGGCCAAATTTAATAACAGTAGCTCAAAATTTATATTTTATATATAATTACGACTTCAAATTTAAAATTTATAAAGTTTGAATTCTAATTCCGCGTCTATTATCTAATGTAAATTGCCTGGCCAAATGTGGCCAACTTTGCCTATTTTCATGATCATTATTTGTCCCTTTCAATTACCAATCTTCAACTACAAACATTATTAACATTATATTGTTTTCCATGGAACACCATTATTTAGTCAATAGTCTTTTCTTTTTCTAACTTTTTTTTAGTATCGTTATGATAAGACGTAAGTTATCGATTTAAATTTAATCATAGTTTAACGATTTTAGGGTTTTACCCTAGAAAATAAATACAAATCAAAATTCATTTCAAGTTAAAAATAAGTAATTTACTTTTATATTATTTGAAATTGGACTGATTTTATCGTTCATTGAACTATTAATTCAATATCATCGAGATTTTTTCAATGACTTTTCAATGAAATTTCAATTGGAGGATAATTTTAAATCATATAAACAAAAGTTGAAGAAAAAACTAGATTTTTTCTCTCTCTTGAAGCGACACGTGGAATCTGTCTATTTAACACCCAAAAAAGGATAAATATAAAATGATTTTATTTATTTTTAAATTAACAACCCCAAAAGATATATTTCTTGTTTTTTTTTAATTCTTTTTACCTTTTGGGTGAATTTCTAAATTAACAAATAACAACACACACACAAAAAAAGAATTCTTTGCTTTTTAATTATTTTAACCTTTTTGAGTGATCAATTGTTTAGAGCCAAAATGTTATTCCATCTTTCTGAGACAAAAAAAAAATACTATCAATTTTATTTTCTTTAAATACTTTTTAATTTGAAAAAAGAATTCTTGATTTTTAGGTCTTTTTAAACTTTATGATCATCATCATATCATTTAAATGACAAAATATACTTTCCTTGATTTGGTAAATAATTGATTTGAACTATACTTAAATGTAACTCTAAAAATTGTAGTAGGATGATAAGTGTCATTTCAAAAAGTTTTAGGGTTTGAAATATGAAACAATAGATTGCATTAACATATAAATATTTAGACGGTTAAACCTATTTTCATAACTTCCGAATTTTTTCGAAAGAACTTTTTAGATTATGATCTAAGAAATCTTTTAATTAAAATAAAATAAAAGAAGAACACTTTTTACTAGTATATTTCATTATCTTAAAAGAGGATAATTGATAAAAATTTCACAACAGATATTATCGAGCCTAAAAATTAATGCATGTCAGATTGTAAAGGGTATCGTGAAACAACCTGAGATAGAGGAAAAAATATGAAGTACGTTATTGTTTAATCTAATTTCTATATAAAAAATACATTTATTATATTCTATTATCTTCGATTTACCGGTTGCTTTTCAAAATTCTATAATTAAATATTAAATACCAAATAAAAAAAAGAAAATACACAATAATCCAAAACTATATACAACCAAAATTTGTATGATATATAGAGAAGTAGAGTGCAAGAAACCTTTGTAGTTAGCATGTAAATTAAATTTTGCTGTTAAAATTATTCTTAGCCTAACAGAAAAATGACATGAGCAAACACAAGGTCATGGCTCATGAGCTTTCAAACAGGACAAAAGAGTCACTAAATATTTAATTAAATTGTAATGCGATAATTAAAATTTCTCTATTTTAAATTAAAAGTTTCAAAATCAAATCTAATATTTAGCCATTCATTCCTCTCTAATTAATAATATCACTTCAAACTTGATATCTAAAAATATAAATTTAATTAAATTTTAATACGAATATCGATACATAAAAACTAATCCATGGAAGATCTTTATAGTGTTTAAGTGGGGACCAAATATAGGCCCCACTGAATGTATAGTTGCATTTTCACACATGAATGGGTCCCACAAACATAAAGAGGACCCCACCATTCCTAGTTGAATGAATAGTAAACAAAATTTAGGTATATTAGATATTTCGAATTTAAATTTTAAATATATAAATTTTGAAGAAAGCATTTTATTTTCTGAACAAGACCTTGCATTATATAAATTTAAGTCTAATTAAATTTTAATATAAATATCATATATAATTGAATAAAAAAATGACATAAAAAATATTTATACAATTACATATTAAACTACAGTAATCATAAATTGAAAACTTATCTTTAAATATATGTTTGATTTTGAAATTAATCTGATTTTCAATTTTTAAAAACTATTTTAGATCAATTTAGTATTTTTAGGACTTTATCTCATAAAATTTTATTAGGAATATCACTTCCCTCTTGAATATTAAGTATTATATATAAATTAAAATTTAGTTAAGCTTAATACGAACGGATTTTTTGTTACTTTCACCAAAAATTTCCATTATCTTTTTTTTGTTTATATTACTATTAACTTTACGTGTATGATAAAAAATCTCGATAGATGCACACATTTCTCGTACATCCTCTTGTTATCATTACATCATTCGTTTTTTCTCTCTCTCGCACCACAATCCATATTTTTATCGACTGACATGTACTATACGAACCCCCGCTCCACCCCCCCCCCACACCACTCACATTCTTTCCATCCTTTTATTTTCTTCTATATATACACATGAAATTTTTTTTCTTATCTTAATGCTTTTGCACTACTAATTCTTCTCTCTATTCATATCTTTCAATCTCTTCTACTTCTCTTCTAACTTTTATACATTAATTTTGGTTTCAAAAATATCTAGAAACTGAAGAAAAAAAATATTAGAAATTGAGTTGCTAACTATATACAGCTGATTAATGTGCATAATGGATCATCATCAGCAGGTAAATATAATATTAATAGTATTTCTTGTATTTTGGTTATTTTTATTAAGGTTTTTTTTATTTTCGTAAGTAAATTACTCGCGATTATTCAATCATTTGATATTTAGTTAATGAAAAAAAAAGAAAAAGAGAGATGTAATAAAGTAAGTTTTGTTGTTTTGGGATCTTCTATTCTTTGATTTTTCTTTTTTTCTTACTCTTTTTTGTGTCTTCGTGTTTTGTTTTGCTTAAAATACAAGAGAATTTTTTTTTAAAAAAAAAGAAGAAGAAGAAGAAAGGAAATATATAGAGTGTACTCATGTTTGGGTTTAGTAAATTTGGTACATATAAATAACATTTAGGTTTAGCAAATTTTGTCAAAATGAGTTTAAGCAACATTTGTTTAGGTACTTTGAATTTTATTCACTCTTATCAATTGATAATTTGAGTTAGTATGGCGTATTGTGAAAATTCATCGTAAATTTAAATGATTTTATGATTTTTTAATTATCTGGACTTGAAATCAATAATGTGAGTGATTGAGTTAAGTTCTAATCTAAAAAAAAGAATAACTCAGAGCATCATCATACACTTCACGTTCCCACTAGGTTCAAAAAAGGCCGCACTGTTAAAGGAATGCCAAAAGTGTCACATCAGTAATCAATGAGATGGATGGACTCGCTTAAGACCTAATTTAACATGCACCCCCATTGGGTGTGATGCATTAGTATTGCTTTCCTAACTGGAACTCCTCGTGAATTGGATGATAAATCTTAGGTTTTCTTGATTTGTGCCGTCCAGGAAATGACTTCACAAACACTAGAAAGCATGTTGGTTTGCGCAAAACCAGATCAAGATCAAAAGAAGCCAAGGCCTGCAGCAGCAGAGCAACAACCTCAGAAATGTCCAAGATGTGACTCTGCCAACACGAAATTCTGTTACTATAACAACTACAGCCTGACTCAACCGCGATACTTCTGCAAATCCTGCAGAAGGTACTGGACTAAAGGAGGTACGCTGAGAAATGTTCCAGTTGGTGGTGGTTGTAGAAAAAACAGAAAATTATCATCAGCAAAGCGATCAAGCCAAGATAACATTAGCCCTAACAGCAGTAATTCCTCAACTGATTTGAGCCTAGCATTCGCCAGGCTCCAGAAACAGACAAATGCGATCGATCAAGAACAGGATACCAACAACAACATGTCAATGATGTACAATACTAACAACGATAACACTAGTACCACCTTTCTAGATGCACTAAGAGGTGGATTTCTCGAAAATCATCACGGATTGTTTCAACACAACATGTATAATTACGCGAACATGGGGCAATTGGTAGAGAATGGAGAAATGGGATTGAGTTATGATCAAGATCAAATGAGTATTGGTACAATGATGACAACAACGATGAAGCAAGAGATGTGCAACGTGGCACGATCAACAGAAGGTCATGACCTGAATGACAACAACAAAGTCTTGTGGGGATTTCCATGGCAACAAATGAGTGGAGATCATCATGTTAACAACAACATGAATACAAATGATTTTGAATATTCAACAAACAAACAAAGTTGGAATGGATTTGGGGGTTCTTCTAATTGGCATGGACTTATTAATAGCCCTTTAATGTAGATGTTTAATTCATAGATTAGACAGTTTTAATTTTTTTAATTTAAATATCTAAGAATATTATGTTTAGATGTTATTAATCCCTATGTTGTTTTTTTTCTTTTTTTGGTTTTTTGTTTGTTTGTCTAATATTGATTAACAAATTAATGAAACTTTTTTTTCTTATATTCTATTGGATTTTTCTTTTTTACCCCTTTTAAATGATAATATTTCATTTTTAGTTTTTGTTTAAGAAAAAGAAAAACTTTAACTTTAAACTTTAAACTTAGGCTTATTGGAATAATAATAATAATAATAATAATTATAATAACTTTAAGGGTTAATCTGTTATAAAATTTTGAGATTAACTTTATCATATATTTTAGATAATTTGATTATATTATTAAAAAATAACATGATTTTGAATTATCAAACGGCCCCTTATATCTATAAAGATGTTAAAATATACTTAAGATCACAAATTTTGAAACAAATTAAGTGTATAATAAAAGTTTCCTATTTTTTTATTATAAAAATCTTATTCAATTAAACACTACTATGGTGTAATTAACACTCATTTATCTAAGCAATAAATATATTTTTTTTTCTATTTTTTATTTGATGTTTAATATCCAAATTAAATTTTGACTAAGTTAAAATCGTATGTTACATGACATATTTTCGGAGATAATGCTATCAGAAAGTTTTTTTTTTTTTAATTTTCAAAACTTGAACTCAAACTCGGATTCAAAATTTCGAAAATCATATCAAATTGATGATTCGGAGTTGGATTTATGAACACTATGTTTGACATACAAGCTGGGACTGTTGTATTTTGTCTGCAAATAAAATATAAATATTAAAATGAAATAGTAGCTTGTTTTCAAGATATTCTATCATGATTATTTATTATTTTAAGGTAAGATCCGATGATTATTTATAACTGAAAGGGAATATTATGGAGGAATAATTAAATAATAATTAAAGACACAATTTTCATAATAGATTTTCATCTATTTGCCAGACCAAATCTTACTTCAAGATTTGGGCGTGACAGGTTTTATAATATTTTATTTTATATATATATATAGTATATTGTACTTAATTTTTCTTTATATATATATATATATATATATATATATATATATATATATATAT